TATATATATATATATATATATATATATATATATATATATATATATACACATATACATCTTTATTTTGATAATGATTTCAATATTTTAAAATCATTTTCAAGACTTTTTAAGTCTGGAACTTTTTAACATATTAAATTTTTTATTAGTTATAAACAGTAATAATAATATTTAATAACAAATATTTAATATATATTTATTTTAACGATTACTTATATAATAATTTTTTATAAAATGTTATACTATAACATTTATTAATTTTTTTACTAAATTATAAACAATCATAAGTAAACACTTATTACATATTTGTTTTAACAAGTATTTATATAAAAATTTCTTTAAATGTTATATATATGCTGTAACACTTATTAAATTTTTTATTAAATTATAAACAATAATAAAAAAACATTTATTATATTTTTAATGTAATAATTATTTATGTAATTTTTTAAGTATTATGCGTTAACACTTATAAGTTTGTAATTAAAAATTATGAACAATAATAAAGAAATATTTATCTCTTATTGAATTTTTAATTTAATAATTAAAGTTGTCTAAAAATTGAGTGAATGATTTAATTAACATATCATGGATATCACCAATGATCAGCTTATAATCTTGCCGCGTCTCGCTAATTTACGTATATAAAAAAACAATTGCATGTAACGAATAGATAGCCAATAGAAAGTCAACGAAACGAGCTAATGAATATATGTGTCGGGAATTGCATTCGTTTACCGTATCTTTGGTGATTTAAACTTTAGTTGAGTATTGAGATGATCAATCGAAATCAGAGTAGTAATCAACTTATTCTTAATTTATTATACGCTCTGGAACAAATATTTTTAAGCAATGTAAATGCAATTTTCCAGGATTTTTTCGGTTTTCAATTTTACGCATTATAAGAAATGTGAATAATCAAATTCTAATTGCAATGTCATCAAGACACGCATAATACGGTGGACATGCTTTTCCCACTTACGGTGCATTTTTCCTCGTTGCTTCAGCTGCTTCTCCACTCTGCGGTTTCAAAAACAAATACTTGAGCGCGTGTCCACTTGTTCACTTGATCGGACATTGCCGTCGCTATTTAAACGTCTGAGAATTTTTTCCGGAAAAGTGGCACGTAATCGTTATCTAGGTAGCACTTGCGAATGCACAAAGTAATGCACAAGCGCATTCAACTACTTCGATAGACTTCCTAGAATTCTTCAGAACGTATTAGATCACGCGTTATGAACCGCGATGCCGCGTATCACATTAATCGCGAGATAAGCACACGTTGCGCAAGCTTGTCAAGAAAATTCGCGAGGGGAGTACCTGTATATCGAGCGTGAAGAGCCTCCCACGTTCGGCTTACCACGCGACATACGAAGTGGACGGTGAAAACGAGCAAGGAATTGTGCGCAATTTGCAGTTAGCGCGTTGAGGAAGTACAATGTTTGGTATTTCTTGGTATTCTTTGGTAACTCTAATCCCATAGTGAAAGAATCATAGTCAATTAAAAAATAGAAAAAAGGGCAGTTCGAGTTCAAGCACAGGACTAATAGTGCTATATACCATATGGGTAAAAAACCTTCCTTGTGTTAGGAAATCGTGTAATATTTATTGAACACGAATAATCAATATAAAACAATCATACGTTTTGGCTCAACCATGAATCCTCTTCAGTGATAATAAAACTCAAGGTTTACGACACGAACGCATTACAATTAGTAAAAGACCTGCGCAAATTGACGTGAATG